CGAGTCAGCAGTGTGCAAGGCACGCTCCCTGTACATGTGCTATCTCTTTGGCCACCACCTACAGAAATACTAAATGGTTGATGTCAGTCCCTGGCCTCAAACCATACCAGGGTTTTCAGATGGGCAGTATATGAGCCGATGACCTTATTAAAATTGGAAAATTCCGAGGGCCAGAATGATAGTACAGCAGGTAGGGTGTTTGCCTTGCACGCAGCCAACCTGAGTTCTAATCCCCAGCACCCCATATCGTTCCCCAAGCACCGCCAGGAGTAATTCCTTTTTTTTTCCCTTTTTTTATTAGTGAAACACCATGAGGTACAGTTATAGACTTACAAATTTTGTGCTTGGGTTTCAGTTATACAATGGTCAAGTACCCATCCCTCCACCAGTGCCCATCATCCACCACCACGGGTCCCAGCATCCCCCCCACCTCTCATCCCCCACCCCTCTTCCCACCCTGCCTCTGTGGCAGGGCATTCCCCCTTGTTCTCTCTCTCTCTTCTTTTGGGTACTGTGTTTTGCAAGAGAGGCATTGAGTGGCAATCATGTTTGGTCTATAGACTACTTTTAGCATGCTTCTCCCACCCTGGGAGGGTCCTCACAACACCCTTTATTTGGTGCTCTCTTCTCTATCTGAGCTTCCTTTTCACCTAGCACGTGTGGCTGGCCTTCAAGTCATGGAGCAAAATCAGGAGTAATTCCTGAGTGCAGAGCCAGAAGTAACCCCTGAGCATCGGTGGGTGTGACCAAAAACAGCAAAAATAAACAAATAAATAATAAGATTGGAAAATTCCCAAGTCTGACTCCTAGTGGGTCTGACAAGGGTCGTGTAGAAATTGTTTTAGGAGCCTGAACAATAGTACAGTGGGTAGGGTGTGTGCTTTGCATGCAGCTACCCCAGGTTTGATTCCTAGCACCCCAGATGGTCCAGTGAGCACCGCCAAAAGTTCTGAGTGCAGAGCCAGGAGTGACCCCTGAGCATTGCCAGGTGTGACACAAATAAATAAAAAATAAATACCAAAAATAAATAAATCATAGGAAGGAGGATGGATGGAAGGAAGGAAGAAAGGAAATACTTTTAGGCAGGCTCATCTCTCAGGCACAGATCACTTGCCTTGCATGCCCAAAGTCCTGGGTTCCATGCCTAGCAAAGCAAACCACAGCAAGAAATAAGAACGTTTCATTCCCTTAAAGGAAAGAGAGTAAAGGGGAATGCGCCTGCTACGGTGTGGGATGGGGGGGGAATGGGGGTGGTGGGAGGGATTCTGGGAACATTGGTGGTGGAGAACGGGTACTGGTGGAGGGATAGGTACTGGACCATTGTATGACAAAAACGCCAACACGAAAGTTTGTAAGTCTGTAACTGTACCTCATGGTGATTCATTTAAAAAAATAAAATAAATAAATAAATAAATAAGGAGCGTTTCATGACGGACAATCCCTCTACAGGAAACAAGTTCTGTGTTCTCGTTTATTCTAGCTCATCTTCCCAAAAGTCCGTGGTCCACGCCCACTATCTTGACGTCAGACACGGTTAAGAATTTGCAAACACCCCGGTTTGGGAACCGGTTTGACCAGCTGCGTCTTTCACATTTTTTGGGTCACACCCGGCGGTGCTCGGAATTTTCTCCCGGCTCTGCGGTTAGGAACCACTCCTGGCGGGCTCAGTCGACCATAGTGGGTGCCGAGGATCGAACCCACTGGGGCTGCGTGCAAAGCAAACGCTCTGCCCGCTCTGCTGCCCCCTGCACCTTTAGCTTCTAGCACGGGACGTGGCTAAACACAAAAGGTAGGCGGTTAGTGTGAACGAGTAGCAAGGCAGGGACAGATTAGGCTAGCAAACGCACCGGTGCTTCTCTCAGGACTCTAGAATTCTGCCGCCGAAATTATTCAAGTTCCCGGGCCCCTACTCTTTTCTTCCACCCACCGTCTGCTTTCTGGATGGTTCAGAACTACATTTCCCACAAGCCCCAGGACGGGAACTACATTTCCCAGAATGCTCTGCTCTCACCAGGTTTTTGTGCCCTTCAACCACCCAGGCCGACAAATTGCGTCTTTCCGCAGCCCCCACCCACCCCGTGCCTGCCTAAAGGTTAATCCGCCCTGCTACGGCTGGTCCGCCACCCCCTCTCAAGTTTCCCCCTCGTACGACGAACGTGCCTCAGTTTCTCCAATGGGGTCCCAAAGGAACAATGCTCTTCCGCCCTGGGGCCCCAATTCGGAGGGCTGTGCGCTGCGGCCTCGCGAGCCTCGGGGTCCCGATGCGCGCTTTGTATCCCTGGGTGGAGGTGGGGGACCCCGGCAGGTGCCGCGCGGGGGCAGAGAGGCTGCGTGAGGGCTAGAGACGCGGCATGCGGGGAAAGGGTCGGTGCAGTTTCGGTGCGCCGCGGCTTGGAACGGGACCCCGAGACGCTGCTATGTCTGTCCCCCAGTGCGCCGAGGTCCAGACCCCACTCTGCCGCTTCCTGCCGGGATGCACCCTCGGCTGTGCCTCAGTTTCCTCAGCGATACCCGAGGGACAGGCGTCAGAGGGCTGCCGGGAAGGCTCGCAGGGGATGTGCGTGAAGCGTTGCTACTGTGCCTGGCGCGGAGCCAGGGCCCCTGAAAATAAGAAACAAACTCCTGCACAGCTTTGTCTGAGTCCATGGGCTGCATCATGGTTGTGTGATCCCAGGGCCTTGTGGGCATCTGTGGTGTGTGTCTCCTTGCCGGTGGGGTGTATGTCTGAGCTGGTATGTTCTATGTGTTATGTGTGTGCTTCTGCTTCTGGCCCGCCAATGCTTCTTTGCAACCAACATTGAATTGTGTGTTTGTGCGCGCATGTGTGTGCATGTAACGTGCGTGTTTAGATGTGTGGAGGTCTTTGTGTCTTTGTGATTCTGTACTGTTTGTGACTGTATGTGACAGGGCTGGTATTCTGGCTGGATCCACTCCAGATGGATTTGTGTTGTTTTGGACATGGTTTGTGCAACTTTGTATTGTGTGAGTTTCTGTGTGCATCCTCTGTGTCCAGGTGTGATGTAGTATGTGTCTGGGTGAGGAAGTAGAACATGTACGTTGTTCTTGCATGTACACACCTATCTGTGTCCCTAACATTTGAACTGTCTGTGTGTGTGAGTTGATGTCTGAGTTTCTATGTATTGTGTGACTGTATCTATGCCTGATGTGTCTGTGTCTGATGTGAGATATGTCTCAGTCTGGTATGACTGTGTGAATGCATATCTGAGTGTGATGTCTGTGTCTGTGATTGCATGTCCGGCGGTCTCTGAGTGTATATGTTAGTATCTATGTGATGTGTGTCTGAGTATAATATATCTGCAATTGTGTGTCTGTGAGTGTATCTCTGTGTGTGATGTGTACATCTGGTATCCATATGATGTGTCTGTTTTATGTAATGTTTATGTCTGTGTGATGTGATTGTGCATTTTTTTTTTTGCTTTTTGGGTGACACCCAGCAATGCACAGGGGTTACTCCTGGCTCATGCACTCAGGAATTACTCCTGGAAGTGCTCAGGGGACCATATGGAATGCTGGGAATCGAACCCGGGTCCGCCACATGCAAGGCAAATGCTCTACCCACTGTGCTATCACTCCAGCCTGTGATTGTGCATTTGTGCATCTCTGTGTGTGATGTGTGTCAAAGTGTGTGTCTATGTAATGTGTGAGTGTGATGTGTGTCTTTGTGATGTGACTGTGCATCTGTGTCTCTGTGTATGATGTGTCTGCATGTCCAGGTGGTATGTGTCTGTGTGATGATTGTGCATTTGTGTGTCTGTGTGTGACGTGTATGTCTAAGTGTATATATGATGTGTGTCCGAGTGTGAGCCTGTGATTGCGTGTCTGTGTGTGATGTGAATTATCTATGTGATATATAACTATGTCTTCGTGATGTGTGCAACTGTATGTCTGAGTGTTATGTGTCTATGTGATTGTGTGTCTGTATGTGATGTGTATGTCTGTGTCTCTGTGATGTGTGCATTTGTGTGTCTGAGTGTTATGATGTGTCTGTGATTGTGTGTTTGTATGTCTGTGTGTGATATATATCTGAGTGTGTCTATGGTGACTATCAGCCTGTGTGATTGTGTCTGTGTGTGATGTGTATGTCTGTCTGTGTGATGTTTGCATCTGGGATGTCATTGTGCATCTGTGTCTCCATGTGTGATGTGTATATCTGAATGTGTATGTAACATGTCTATGTACATCTGTGTGTGTTGTGTCAGTGATTGTGTGTCTGTGTATGTTTATGGGCTGTGTCTTATAATTGTGTTTTTCTGGGTGTGTGTGTGTCTATGTGATGTGTATCTGTGTAGTTGTGCATCTGTGTGACTGTGCAATGTGTATGTCTGAGTTTGTGATGTGTGTATGTGAGGGTCTGTGTGTGTGCAGACGTGGACACGCATACTGTGCCATCGTCTTTGTTCCCATGTGTCCGTGGGTTGTGTGTGTGCTTGGCATGTCGTGGTGCTGTCTGGCATCTGTGTCTGTTACGTGTGGGTCTTGGTGGCGTGTTGACATGCCTGCGTGGCCGGGTGCATCTGTACCGGGGGCCGGCCTGCCTGTGTGTTCCCTGCGTCTTTGTGTGTGACGTGGCTATGTCCCCGTCTGCCGATGGCTGTCCACCTTTGTAGAGAATGTGTTTGTCTTAAAAGGTCCCTGCGATGTGTGCCAGCCTTGTGTGGGCTGCGGATGGCGCCTGACAGTCGCATCTTGGCGTGGGGCACACGTGTCCATGCCAGTGGCACAGCACAGCGGTGTCTGGTCCAGGCTCAGGGAGCCCTGCGCTATCCTCCCCCCAACCCAGGGTCTCCTGGTCCCTGTCTGTTCCTCCCCCTCCCCTCCCTCCTGGCAGCCAATGCTACAGGGGAACCAGTTGCCATGACAACGCTCCATCCTCCCTCCATCCTCCCTCCTCCCACCCTTCCTCTGACAGGCTCTCTGCTCCCCCAATCCCTGCTGCCCTCGGGGGCGGGGCCGCATTCTCCCCCCCACCCCAGCCTACCCTCACCCCCCCCACCCCAGCAACCCCGGCACCCCAGCTCCTCTCCTGTCCGCCTCTCCATCCCTTCATCTGTCTATCCCTTCAAGGAGGGGGAGGGGGGTCCCTGAGGCAGCCAGCAGCCCCTCCCTCCCCCTGTCCTGCGTCTCCTGCCCCTCTCCTGGGCCCGGGGGAGGCCAGGGTCGCGCCGGTCCCCATGGCTGGGGGCTGAGGGCCCGCCCCCCCTCCTCCCCAGCCGCCACCACCTCCATCTCCCTCCTCCCTCGACAAGATGCCTGCCCCAGGCGCCCTCACCCTCCTCGCGGCCGTCTCCGCCTCCGGCTGCCTGGCGTCCCCGGCCCACCCTGGTGAGTGTCCATCCGCCCATCCACCCGTCTGTCTGGCCATCGGCGGCCCGTGGCCGCTACCTCGACCCCCGGGCCCACCGCGGGGCTTCAGCAGGGTCGCGATTGCTGTGTGCGCTGGTCCCTGCCGCCGGGGCCCCACAGCGATGCGGACGGGGCCTGTGGGAGGCAGCTTGGGGGCTGTGGGGAGGGGGTCTATCAGGGCGACATGTGTGTGCACGCGCATGTGTGTGCAGGCAGGGCTGGGGAGAAATTGGGGGCTCAGAGGGGAGGGGACCCAGCTCCGGAGGCTGCCTCTGGCTTTGGGGGAGATGGACCGGAGGCTTGCGGAGTCCCCTTCTCTGGGGCCTGGCAGGCGAGTAGAGGACATGTGTGTGCTCCAGACAGGTAGCAGCCCCTCCCCAAATCAAGGGGCGCAGCATAGGGTAGGAAGCGTCTCCCAGCCTGCAATTGTGGGGTGCATCCTCTTACCCAAATATGGGGTGCTGAGGCTATCCGTGGGAGCGTATTTCAAATTCTCAGTGCTTCTGACTCCAGTGTGCCTCTTCTTTCCCTCAGTCTTCTCTGGAATTCACCCAAGTCAGGGGCGAGGTGATGGGGTGTGGGGTCCCCCAGTTTGGGGGGGCAGAGGAGGGACCCCACCCCCAACCCAACCACCTGAGAAGCTTCAAACTACAACTCCCATAACACCCCGGGCCATCCGTCTCCCTGGTCAAGGGGACCCCTTGGGCACAGAGCATTATGGGAGTCGTAGTCCGGGACCGGCCGAGAAGGAGGGGCGTGGAGTCCGGGCGCCAGGTCGGGGGTTGGGGGAGATTGAGGGTGGGACTCCAGCCAAGCCCTGTGCCCGCAGATGGATTCACCCTAGGCCAGGCCCCGCTGGCTCCCCCCTATGCCGTGGTTCTCATTTCCTGCTCTGGCCTGCTGGCCTTCGTCTTCCTCCTCCTCACCTGTCTATGTTGCAAACGAGGCGATGTGGGCTTCAAGGTGAGGTTCGGGGTGCTGGGGGGATAGTACTGATGGGGACGGTTTCTTTCCTTCACCCCAGGTGGGGCAGTCACTTGAAAGTCCCAGGGAACCTGAACTTACGGCTAGAAAGTGGGGGGCGTGGGGCAGAGGGAGGGTCTTAGGATGGAAAACTGCAAACTGCGCTGGGCTTGGGGGTCAGGAGCCAGAGCGGCGAGTTTCAGCCTCATCTGTTCTCCGGTCCCGTCCTCCTGCCGGTAACAGGAGTTTGAGAACCCCGAAGGTGAGGATTGCTCCGGGGAGTACACACCCCCGGCGGAGGAGACTTCCTCCTCACAGTCGCTGCCTGATGTCTACATCCTCCCGCTGGCTGAAGTCTCCCTGCCTATGCCCGCCCCGCAGCCGGCACACTCAGGTACCGCCCCCCCTCCTCACGGGGCTCCCTGGGACCTCATCTCCGGCTGGTCTCGGGGAACCGGGCCAAGGGGAGCGGCAGGGCAGGGAGCCTCCGAGCCTACAAGAAAAACTGTAGGCGCTCCAAAAGCCTCCCTACTCTAAATCCTGGATTGTGGTGGGGGTGGGGGATCTTGTGGGGCAGTGAATTGGGAGATCCCCCTGCATCTACATCAGGGAGGCAGCCAATAGTAGGCTGAAGTCATGTTATAGGCTCCTGAGACACTCAAAGGAAGCACGGATTGGACGCCTCTATCTAGCGGGAAGCCAATGAGGAGGCAGTGATCCCATTATGGAATATCAATGCAGCCAATGAGGAGGCTGCAATTCCTTTATGGACTGTCAGATCAGCCAATGAGAAGGCTGAGATCTTATTATGTACTGTCCTGGTCAGCCAATGCTATCTGCTTTGACCCTCATCCCAATCCCCACTGAAGTTGGAGGTTGTCCGGGACACTTGGGAGGGAAGAGAGAGGCTCAGGGGGTCTTCCTCTTCCCCCCTACCCCCAGACATGACCACCCCTCTGGGCCTTAGCCGCCAGCATCTCAGCTACCTACAAGAGATAGGGAGTGGCTGGTTTGGGAAGGTGAGTGGGGCTGGGGGTGGGAGGGAGAGGCGGTGGGTCCGCTTCATTCTGGCTGTGCTCCTGTTCTGTGTTCATCCACGTCACATCTGAGCCCTCACCACCCCCTGTCCCCTCAGCCCAGCCATTGCCCTCACCTCTGTTCACCTCTCACTTGCTCCTACCCCTCATGCCCCCCAACATCTGTCGGTCAGCGCCTCCCTCCTCAATCCATTGACCACACCGCCTGGCCACCCGACTCTTCACGCGTGCGTCTGTCCATACTTCCATCCTTCCCTGCGTCCGTCGGACTCTGGGCCCGTGAGTCTTGCTCCCCCACAGCTGATGGGGAACCAGGGTAGGTGGGAGATGCAGGGGCCAGCGGGGCTGGGTGCAGATGGTGTCCAGGGACAGGCTGGGGACCCCGTATATGACTTCTGGTCTCCCCTGTTGACCAGGTGATCCTGGGAGAGATTTTCTCCGACTACACCCCAGCCCAGGTGGTGGTGAAGGAGCTCAGAGCCAGCGCCGGACCCCTGGAACAGCGCAAGTTCATCGCAGAAGCCCAGCCCTACAGGTATTAGAATCTAATAGCGTTAGTGGGCTCAGAACCAAATGGCCAGGTCCTGGTCTCCTGGAGTAGCAAACGGTCGGAACTGGCTCCGAGTCCCCCAGTCGCCTGTTCCTGGCTCTGTCACTTGGTTGAGATCCTTTTCTGCTGGGAGCTCCAAGTAAAGTCAGAGGCTGAGTGACTTGGAAACTTGCCACTCTCAGTCTCTTCTGGAAGTGGAGTGCAGTCTCATGTAGAGGCTGGTCAGGGGAGTGCAGTCTTATGTAGAGGCTGGTCAGGGAGACCCTGAGGCACCCTGGGCAGTGTCCTGGGCAGGTCCTTAAGGAGACCACTGAGGAACTTAGTCTCCTTCTGCCTCCAGTCCTCCCCCTGCTCATCTCTCCCCACAAAGATTTCAGAGCCAAGAGTCAGAGAAGCATTTGTTCTAAAAATGCCCATGATGGGCTGTGTCAGTTGTTGACTGACAGGCTGGAGAGATAGCACAGGGTAGGGGAGCAGCGTTTGCTGCCCATCCAGTTTTGATGCCCCCAGCACCACTGTGGTGATCTGGGTCACTCCCAGCACTGCAGGCCCTGAGCAGCACTGCACCCTCAAACCCTCTCATTGACCCATCAGCCGGGCTGGCTAAGAATCACTAGGAGAGTCCCCCAGGCCTCCTGAGATCCACTCTGATGGACCCCCCTCAGCCCCTCCCCAAATAAGCAATGTTGAGGGGCAGCAGACGTGGCTCAACAGCTCAGCTCAGGCTTTCTGTGCAAGAGGCCCAGATCCCACCCCGACGCAGATTCCCTGAGCCCTGCTAGTGCTGACACCTGAGCACTGAGTCTGGAGTCACTCTCCTGCCAGGTGTGGCCCAGAAAAACCAAACTAATAAGGTGCTGTTCAGAGATGATCACTGGGCGTGGTCAGGTCCCAGCACTCAAATGGCTCCCTGCCCCTCTTCCCTTCCCATCTCTCTGCCCCTCACTGACACAGCCTCTCTCAGCTCTAAAGAGGGGTGTCAGGTCAGAGCAATAGTGCGGTGGGGAGGGTGCCTCCCTTGCACCTGAGTTCAGTCCCTGGCACCCCAAATGGTCCCCGGAGCCTTTCCAGGAGTGATCCCTGAGCAAATCGAATTGCCTCCTCCCCAAAAAAGGAGTGCCCTAGGATGCTCCACCATACCCACTCTAGGTGGCCTCTTTGTCACCATGTCCTGCATCCACTTGCTCTTGGCCTCCCTGGGCCCACTCAGCACCCACTACCCACCCTGGGTTCCTTTCAAGGGTCTGGGCAGCGGCAGACAGCAGTGGGTCCCCAATGAGCTCAGATCTCCACCATTTCCACCTTTACAGCTTTTCTAGAAAGTTCTGGCAGGAGTGCAGCACCAGCAGCTAGGGGTCCCACACTGTGCCCCACAAAGTGTTTGCTGAGTAAGTCAGACACTCTGAGGACAAGTCCACTGTTATTCGGGTGTGACCCTGGGCACATTTGGGAGGTGGGGATGATTAAATGGACGCCCCTCCTGCCCAGCAGGTGTTGGGGAACAGAAGTGGCCCTTCTGTGCTTTGCTAAGGAGAGGTGCAGTGACACCCAGCTTCCCTCTTCTTTGTGGGGGGAGGTTTATGGGCCATACCTGGAGGTACTCAGGAGTCATTTCCAGTGACGCTGAGGGACTATTATGTGCTAGGAATTGAACCCAGGGCCAGACAGACTCATGCAAGGCCAGTGATTTACCCACTGTCCTGTCTCTCGGCGCCAACCAGCTTTAAGTCCCCCCACATGGGAACCTCTTGCTCCCCATTGAGCCCCGGAGATAATGCTGTCCTGGCAGTCTCAGAGATGTGGCTGGAAGGCACAGACCCCCATCCCCGCCCAGGTCCCAGGGAAAACAAGCCACCACTCACCTACAGCCACTCTGGACTTGCAGAATGACTGTTTCTCCCCACAGCTCCCCAGGTGCTCTGGGTAAAATCTTTCCTTCCCACTGAACACCTCTAGTCTAGCACCGTCCCTCCCAGCAGGAAAGACAGGAAGAAAAGGAAATCTCAGGGCAGGACTAGTGCCCTGAGGCAGAAAAGCCCTGTGTGGCTCAGTGTGTGTGTTGGGGGGAAACCAGAGGGGACGCCCAGCTGTTGGAGGGGAGGGTCGTGAGGAGCAGGGTGGGGTCTGTGCTCCAGGCACTGGGGACCTTGAGCACAAAGGTCAGGAGGCAGGAAAATTGCGGTCGCCATGCAGTGGGATAGTAAACGGGCCGGGCTGTGCTGGGAGGTTCAAATCTAGGTCCCAGTCCCATGGGGGCAGAGAGTCTGTGTAGTTCCCTCCCTGACATTAGGGGGCGCGGTGCCCAGCACCTGCTGTCCCCATTTTAGTGGAGGAACAGGAGGGTGGGAGAAGCCGGGCGGCTCCCTGGGAGGGAACACAACTAGGAAGGGCCCACACCTGACTTGGCACCCTTGGTATTTGGAGGAGATGATGCGGATGCTGAGGCAAAGGCCTGGACACCTAAGCAGGCTTTGATGTTTGCAGGCCAGTGGGGGGTGAAAGGAGAGGAAGGGCATGAGGAGTGAGTCAGGCTCATCCCGGGATGCGGGAAGCCCTGCAGAGCTGCGAGCAGGACGAGCAGGGTGGCACAGAGCAAGACAGACAGAAAGGGAGAGGCTAGAGGCAGGGAGGCCAGGAGAAGGCTGGGGAGCATCTAGAAGGTGATTAGTGTGGCAGGAAGTCCAGCTAGGGAAGGGGGGAGGACAGGAGGGCCAGTGCATGAGCAGCATCCAGAATGGGGACCTGGAGAAGGGTGCTGCAAGGAGGGGACCCCAGGTGAGGAAAGTGGGAGGGACTGTTTCTTGACTGTCATTACCCCTCCCCTGCAGGAGCTTGCAGCACCCCAACGTCCTCCAGTGCCTGGGTGTCTGTGTGGAGACTCTGCCCTTCCTGCTGATTATGGAGTTCTGCCAACTGGTGAGGGTCCCAGGGCGGGCAGCAGGGTCCAGAGGCGGCACAGCATTCTCGTCCCATCTCATCACCAGGTGCCCCAAAGACAGTCACTAGCATTTCTCATGCATTTCCTGGAAATGGGCACCCAGGAAAACTGAGACTCTGGGGGGCTGTCACTGAGGGCAGAAGCTGCCACTGTCCTTACCTCTGGGTGCTTGGGTGCTGAGTCTTCTTCCCGGTCCCTCCCAGGGTGACCTGAAGCGTTACCTACGAGCCCAGCGGCCCCCTGAGGGCCTGTCCCCTGAACTGCCCCCTCGAGACATGAGGACGCTGCAGAGGATGGGCCTGGAGATCGCCCGCGGCCTGGCACACCTCCACGCCCACAACTACGTGCACAGGTGATACCTGGGGAGGAGCCCTGGAAAGACCGACAAGGCCACGGGAGGAGGGGAGGGGGACGGGAGGGATCGGAGTGGGGAGCCCGGGCCCCTCAAGGTTCCCACCCTGTACCCCAGTGACCTGGCCCTGCGCAACTGCCTGCTCACCTCTGACCTCACTGTGCGCATCGGAGACTACGGGCTGGCCCACAGCAACTACAAGGTGGGGACCCCCCTCCCTCGGTGGGGGGTGGGGAGTCCCGGCCCACCTGACCACGCCGCCCACCCACGGCCTGCAGGAAGACTACTACCTGACCCCGGAGCGCCTGTGGATCCCGCTGCGCTGGGCAGCGCCCGAGCTACTGGGGGAGCTGCATGGCACCTTCATGGTGGTGGACCAGAGCCGGGAGAGTAACATCTGGTGAGGGGCGGGGGCAATGGGCAAGGGTGGGGTCTGATGGGCGGTGCTTGATAGGCGGGGTTGACTGGTGTGGGCGGGGCCAGGACTGGGAGGGGCTCGGGGGCGGGCATCACTGCTGTCATTGGTTGGGCACCAAGACTGAGACCTGGTTGTGAGGCCCCGGAGTCACCAGGAGGGGGCTCTGCTCTCTCTCTCTGCTTCCTGCAGGTCCCTAGGAGTGACCCTGTGGGAACTTTTTGAGTTTGGGGCGCAGCCCTACCGCCACCTGTCAGACGAGGAGGTCCTGGCCTTCGTGGTCCGGCAGCAGCACGTGAAGCTGGCCAGGCCTCGGCTCAAGCTGCCCTATGCTGACTACTGGTGAGGGGGGACCCAGGGCCCTACCCTCTCTCCCTGCTCACCCACTGCCACCAGGTGGGGACACCCGCACCCCTTCTGCCAGCTTCGGCCACTTGGACAGGGGGAGCAGGCACAGGCGCAGCTGCCCTTGGAGGTCCCCTCCCCTCTCCACAAAGTCCCCAGGCGCTGCTGCCTGGTTTTCCCTGCTGCCTCACTCACTGTCCTGTCCCTCTCTCTGGGTCTCTGGCCCCCTCTCTTGGTCTCCGTCCCCTCTCCTGGGTCCCATACCCCCTTGGAGGCCCAACCTCTCACTCTCCCCTCCCCCCAGGTACGACATTCTGCAGTCCTGCTGGCGGCCCCCCGCCCAGCGCCCCTCAGCCTCTGACCTCCAGCTGCAGCTCACCTACCTGCTGTCCGAGCGGCCCCCACGTCCTCCCCCGCCCCCTCCCCCACCCCGAGATGGGCCCTTCCCTTGGCCCTGGCCTGCGCAGCACAGTGCCCCCCGCCCAGGCACCCTGTCCTCGCCGTTCCCCCTCCTGGACGGCTTCCCGGGCGCTGACCCCGATGATGTGCTCACGGTCACCGAGAGCAGCCGCGGCCTGAACCTCGAGTGCCTGTGGGAGAAGGCGCGGCGGGGGGCTGGCCGTGGTGGGGGCGCCCCTCCCTGGCAGCCTGCCTCGGCACCCCCTGCGCCCCACGCCAACCCCTCCAACCCCTTCTATGAGGCGCTGTCCACACCCAGCGTGCTGCCCGTCATCAGTGCCCGCAGCCCCTCGGTCAGCAGCGAGTACTACATCCGCCTGGAGGAGCACGGCTCCCCACCCGAACCCCTCTTCCCCAACGACTGGGACCCCCTAGACCCTGGAGTGCCTGCCCCCCAGGCCCCCCAGGCCCCCACCGAGGTCCCCCAGCTGGTGTCCGAGACGTGGGCCTCCCCCCTCTTCCCAGCGCCGCGGCCCTTCCCGGCCCAGTCCTCCGCGGCCGGCAGCTTCCTCCTGAGTGGCTGGGACCCCGAGGGCCGCGGTGCTGGGGAGACACTGGCTGGAGACCCCGCCGAGGTGCTGGGGGAGCGGGGGACTGCCCCCTGGGCCGAGGAGGAGGAAGAGGAAGAGGAGGAGGAGGAGGGCAGCTCCCCCGGGGGGGATAGCAGCAGCCTGGGGGGTGCGCCCAGCCGCCGGGGCCCCCTCCACTGTCCCCTGTGCAGCCGTGAGGGTGCCTGTTCCTGCCTGCCCCTGGAGCGGGGGGAAGCTGTGGCTGGCTGGGGGGGCCACCCCGCTCTCGGCTGCCCCCACCCTCCGGAGGACGACTCGTCCCTGAGGGCAGAGCGGGGCTCCCTGGCCGACCTACCCCTGGCCCCCCCCCTCTTCGGCCCCCCCCGAGTTTCTGGACCCCCTCATGGGGGCGGCGGCGCCCCAGTACCCCGGGCGGGGGCCACCTCCCGCTCCCCCCCCCCCCGCCGCCACCTCCCCGGGTTCCCGCGGACCCCGCCGTGTCCCCCGAACCCCTCTCGGCCGTGGCCAGTCCCGGCTCAGGCCTATCATCTCCGGGCCCCAAGCCGGGGGACAGTGGCTACGAGACCGAGACCCCTTTTTCCCCCGAGGGAGCCTTCCCCGGTGGGGGGGGCAGCCGAGGAGGAAGGGGTCCCTCGGCCGCGGGCTCCCCCCGAGCCCCCCGACCCGGGAGCGCCCCGGCCACCCCCAGACCCGGGTCCCCGCCCAGCACCGGGGGCCCGGGAGAAGCCCGCCTTCATGGTGCAGGTGAGCACAGAGCAGCTGCTGGTGTCACTGCGGGAGGACGTGACCCGGAACCTCCTCGGGGACAAGAGGCCAAATTCCCGCGAGACGGGGCCCTGGAAGGCGAGCAGAGCCCCGGAGGCCAGCAGGGACCCCCCAGTCCCGGGCAGTGGGAAGAGAGCCCCAAGCCTGAGCCAGGACCCGAGCCCCCACGTGAACGGGCTGACAGTGTCGGAGAACGGGGGGCAGAGAGCCCCGGGCCTCGAGGAGAAGGTGGTGCAGAATGGGGGCTTGGGGTCCCCCGAGAGAGAAGAGAAAGTGCTGGCGAATGGGGAGCTGACACCCCCAAGGAAGGAGAAACCGCTGGCGAATGGGGAGCTGAGGTCCCCCGAGAGAGACGAGAAAGTGCTGGTGAATGGGGAGCTGACACCCCCAAAGATCGAGGAGACGGTCTCCGAGAATGGGGGCCCGAGACTCTTCCAGAACACGGAGAGGCCACCAGAGACTGGGCCCTGGAGAGCCCCAGGGCCCTGGGAGGAGACGCCGGAGAATGGGGGACCAGCCCCCGAGACCACACTGCAGAGAGCCCCCACACCCGGCACAGCGGCCTTGGCCCGGAACAGCGGGGAGACAGCCCCTGGCCTGCCTGGCCCAGCTCCCAGGAGCGGGGTGCCGGAACCCGGGACCGAGGGGAGAGCCCCAGAGACTGGGGGGGCACCGAGAGCCCCGGGGGCTGGGAGGCTGGACCTCGGGAGTGGGGGCCGAGCCCTAGTGGCCCTGGGGACGGCCCCCGGCGGCGGCCTCGGAAGCGGCGTGGACGCAAAGGTCGGATGGGCAGACAGCACGAGGCCGCTGCCGCCGCCGCCGCTGCCGGAGGGACCCCCGAGGAGGCCGGAGCCAGCGCCCCCGAAAGCCAGGCCGGAGGGGCCGCCCGAGGGAGATCCCGGGTTTCCCGACAGCAGGGCCGGCGGAGACACGGCACCCAGCGGAGACGGGGCCCCACAGCCGCCCGAGAGGAAGGGTCCCGAGATGCCACGGCTCTTCTTAGACTTGGGACCCCCCCAGGGGAACAGCGAGCAGATCAAAGGTGAGGAGATGGCTGTGGGCAGGATGGGGCCAGCATGGGGGGGTGGGAGGATTGGGAGCCTGGGGTGGGGGTGGATGATGTCTTCAGTCAAGCCTGCGGTCACAAGTCCCTGCTTCTAGGGACCAGTGACCTTCTGTGTCCTGGCCTTAGAGAACTGCCACTGAGACCTTGTTTGCTATGGCTCAGGGTCGGGTCCATAAAAGCCGGTGCCCAAGGTCTGGCTCTAGTTCAGTTACAACAGGGGTTGCCCAGCCTCCAGATGCCTGGGTGGTGCACAGGAATGAAGGAAGCAGGTGGGGAGCACTTAGTGAGGAGTTAGGCACTTTCTGTCCTAGCCAGCGCCCCCGTCTCAGCTCCAGTTAGGAACTCTTTCGTGGTGCCAGATGGTCTGATTTGTCCTGTCCCACCAGGGAAAGGCTCCCCTGATTTCCTGGGGGACATCACAGCATCAGCAGATGGAGATAGCATGGCAGGGAGGGCACTGGCCTTGATGTGGCCCACACAGGTTTGATCCCCGAACTGAGAGTGATCCCTAAGAGCAGAGCTAGGACTGAGCCCAGAGTACCACTGTGTGTGGCCCTAAAGCAGGTCTGTAGCTGGGGTTCAGAGTACTAAGAAGCAAGGCTGGGCCCTTCCTCAAAGCCTATGGTGTTAGAACAGCCACCACTCAAGGCTGGTATGGGGAGTTTTCGGGTGCTATGGCAGGAAAGCTGGGGGATAGAAAACAGTTTGATGACCTAGGGGCCTGAGGCTGAGAAAAGATTAGAAAGGCCTGTGGTTCCTATTCTGAGTTTTGGTATTTCTTTTTCTGAACTCAAAAAACTCCTATTCATCCTTCAAGACCCCACAGCCTGGGAAAGCCTTCATGATTTCTTTTTTGGCTTTTTGGGTCACACCCGACAATACTCAGGGGTTATTCCTGCCTCTGCACTCAGGAATTGCTCCTGGAGGTACTCAGGGGACCATACAGAATGTCGGGGATCAAACATGGGTCAGCTGCATGCAAGGCAAATAGCCTACCTGTTGTATATTCCTCCAGCCCCAAAACATTCAATCAGGATCTCTAATATCTGTCACCCTCCCTTTTCCTGGAGACCACAACTCCTGACAGCTCCCTCTGTCCCTACCCGACCTCAGCACCCAGAGATGGGTAATTAGAGAAGGCCTCAATGAGGAAGTGACTTTTTTTTTTTTTTTTGCTTTTTGGGTCACACCCGGCGATGCTCAGGGGTTACTCCTGGCTTTGCACTCAGGAATCACTCCTGGCGGCGCTCGGGGGACCACGAGGGATGCTGGGAATCGAACCCGGATCGGCCGCGTGCAAGGCAAACACCCTACCCGCTGTGCTATTACTCCAGCCCCAAGGAAGTGACTTTTGAGCAGATAAGGAGTGATACATAGCACAGTGGGTTGGACACGTCTTGTATGTGGCCGACCCAGGCTCCATTCCTGCTTCCCACAAGGGTCCCCTGGGCACTGCCAGGAGTGATTCCTGAGTGCAGAGCAAAGAGCCATGAACACTGCTTAGCGTGCCCCACGTCCCGCTCCCAAAGAGACAGTAAGGTGTAAGATCTGAGGGGACCATGCTGGGGTGGGCAGTAGCCTGGCACGTTCAGGAGAGTTACAAGAGACCAAAGCATCTGGCTCAGAGTGGATGAGGGCAGGAGAGTGACCCTCCTCGGTCACCTTTCTGCCTGCAGTGCTTGGACACACGGTTCACTTATGTACTAGGAGGAATGAGTGTGGCCTCTGTGCACTTACCAATGAGCAAACAGGCACAGAGAGGTAGTTCTGTTGCCCAGGGGCACACAGCAAGCAAACAGGGCAGGCTTCGTTCGTCCTCCAGAGAACTGCCATCCTCCTTGGCCAGCAGGCTGAGATCTGGGAGTGCTAGGAAAAGGCCTTTTCTTTTTAGGACCCAATCCTGTCTGGTGACATGGGCCAGAGAGGAAATGTGCCAGGGTCAGTAGCATACCACAGGAAACAATTCTTTATGAACCTCCCAAACCAGAGTCCTCCATGTGCTTGGGGTTTGGGGGTGCCACCCAGGGAGGGGGGGCAGTCTTTATTCTGTGGCAACATTGCCACATAAGCAGAATTTGAGACAGGCACGTGCCACCTACCCTCGCCTGGGTTCGATCCGGGGACTCTGCCTGTGTGGTTCCCAGCTGACCAAACCTGTCATTAGGTGGGGCTGGGGGGAGAAGCAGGACTGAAGGTGGAAAAGCAAGTTTCTGACACAGGCAAAGGCTCAGAGGTGGGAGGGAAAGTGAGGACCAGGCTAGACTCGCCCACGTGGCTGGCTGTAAATTCCACATGAATTAGGCAGCAGGGGCCAGAGCCATAGGAGAGCCGGCAGGGCACTTGCAGTGCAGGCGGCCCACCTGGACTTGATCCCTAAGACCACATTTGGTTCCCCAGACGGTACCAGGAGAGACCCCTGACCAGAGTCAGGAGTTAGCCCTGGGTGTCACCACCACCATCCCCCCAAAAAGAATGAAGGGGAACAGAAGATGAAGGGGCCCTAGGGCCAGGGCACTGGGGCTGCTGGGTCACGGGGCAAAGTTGGGTCCTGAATTGACTTGTGGGAAAGGGGGACACTGCGAGGGGCGGGGGGTGAGGCGTCAGGAATTGAAGCGGGGAAAGGCCCCAGTAGTGCACGAGGGCAGCGGCTGGGCCTTACCCGACAACACAGAGTTCTACGGGCGGGCGGGCGGGTCTCAGTTTCCCCGGGACAGGCTCTCACCGCGTCTCTTACCTCGCAGCCAAACTCTCCCGGCTGTCGCTGGCGCTGCCGCCGCTCACGCTCACGCCGTTCCCGGGCCCGGGCCCGCGGCGGCCTCCGTGGGAGGGCGCGGACGCCGGGGCGGCTGGCGGGGAGGCCGGCGGGGCGGGAGCGTCGGGGCCGGCGGAGGAGGACGGGGAGGACGAGGACGAGGACGAGGAGGAGGACGAGGAGGCAGCGGCGGCGGGCGCGGCGGCGGGGCCGCGGGGCCCCGGGAGGGCGCGGGCAGCCCCGGTGCCCGTCGTGGTGAGCAATGCCGACGCGGACGCGGCACGCCCGCTGCGGGGGCTGCTCAAGTCTCCGCGCGGGGCCGACGAGTCCGAGGACAGCGAGCTGGAGAGGAAGCGCAAGATGGTCTCCTTCCACGGGGACGTGACCGTCTACCTCTTCGACCAGGTGAGCCGCCCGGAGGGGACGCCCCGGGGGCGGGGCGGGAGGGCGGGGCCGGATGTGGGCGTGCCCAGAGGAGAGGGCCGGAGGGGCGGGGCCTGAAGTGGGCGGGGGCTGGTATGGTGGGACCTTGTGGGGGGTGGGTCCCTAGATGGGCGGATCTGAGGCGTGGTCTGGGCGCTGCCTGGGGCGGAGCCTTGGGAGCAGGGCCTTAGAGGAGCATGCCTGGGGCATTGTCTTGGAATTGCTTGGCGCGGGACCCTGAGGGATGGGGCTTTCAGAGGGCGGGCCTTGGACATTGCCTGGGGCGGGGTCCAGAGGGGCGGGTCTGGAGGCGTGGTCTGGGAAGATTCCCAGGAGTAGGACAAGGTCCAGAGCAGGTCCTGGGAGGAGAGGGAGAGGCCTGTGCTGGAGGTAGTGGTGGAGGGTGATGGAGAGGCTGTATCCAGAGTAGGCGTTTGGGTCAAGAGCGCAGAGCCTACAGATGCAAGTGAGGCAATGTTGAGGTCGTGGGGAGTAGGTCTGGTGTTAGGTGCTGGTAAAGGGACTGGACCTAGATCCAATAGAAGTTACCCACGAGTGTCAAGCCACGGGAGAGGCTGCTGATGGGACTTAAGAGAGTTGTGTTAAGTTTGAGTGGGGCAAGGTATAATGAACTTGGTTGGGGCAAGTTTAGCGAGCCGGGTTGAGGATTGTGTTCAGAGGGACCGACTCGGGAGAAATCGTACTGAACAGAGAAAAGGGGTTGGGGGACGTGTCTTAGATGGACCTGGGGCCCGGTGTGAAGTCTTGAGTCTTGAGTAAGAACAGGGCGAAGATTTAGAGGGCTTGAGGGGAGACACGTCAAGGTTGACGCTTAGGAGACAGGGCAAAGGGCCCGCGGGCGCATGATGCGGTAAGGATTTTGCAGGGCCATAAGAACAGGTAGCTCTGGTTTTGGACTTGCACGCATGCCCAGCTGTAGGAGGTAAGTGGCGATCCCAGAGAGGAGAGTATTAGCTTCACTGTGAGAGAGGAGAGCCTTCAGGAGCACGGAGAAACGCCTGCCACGGTGGACCGTGCTACAGGAAGTGGTGCTTAGCTGTAGGTGAGGCTCCGCAGTCCCAGTCGTAGGATTTGCTGGGTGGGCTGTGATAGCTCACCCCCTCTCGCTGCTCCTGATCTGTCTTCCCAGGAGACGCCAACCAACGAGCTGAGCGTCCAGGGCCCTCCCGAGGGGGACACGGACCCATCAACACCCCCAGCGCCCCCAACGCCTCCCCATCCCGCCACCCCCGGAGATGGGTTTCCCAGCAACGACAGCGGCTTTGGTGAGGAAGAAGTGGTACCTGGCGGGCGGGGTCTGTGGAAGGGGCGGGGACTTGTGGGCGGGGTTTACAAGAGGGCGGGGCTAACAGCTGTTTCAATGAGCTGACTCAGGGCAGGGTCTGAACATCTCACCGCCCCCCATTCCGGTCCCCATCCTCTCTTCCCTCTCTCTAGGAGGCAGTTTCGAGTGGGCGGAGGATTTCCCCCTCCTACCCCCGCCAGGCCCCCCCCTGTGCTTCTCCCGCTTCTCCGTCTCGCCTGCGCTGGAGACCCCGGGGCCCCCCGCCCGGGCTCCCGACGCCCGACCCGCAGGTATTCACTTCTCCCCACCTCGCCAATCTCCCCTCCTCAGCCGTCTCTGTCTCTGTCTCTGTCTCTTTTCCCATGCCTCCTTCAGCCCACTCACCGCTGAGACCCCTCCCAAGTCCAGCAGTGCATCCAACCCGGTGGTGCCCATTAGATGTGCTGGAATACCCACACGACCTGCCTGGGCCTCAGTTTCCCCTGGGGTCTTGCCTTTCTTTGCTGCAGAATGTAAACGAGGGGCAGACAGGGAGAAGGAGCACAGAGCAGAGATGCAGCCAGGATGCCCCATTGTAGGAATTTGTTACTGCTGCTGATTATAAAGTATGCACATACTGACGCGTTATGCCAGGGGGTGGATCATAGTCTCATGCACATTTTGCAGAAGAGGAAACTGAGATATGGAAACCCTGAGGATATAGGGCTGATAACAGCTGACTGGCCTCCGGCACTATGGGTCGGTTCCTTCCGGTGGCAGTTCATATGGCATGGTGTCTCATTACCAGCCCAGACAGGATCACCTCACCTCTGCTTTCCAGGGCCAGTGCTGGATTGTGGCTATCAGGAGTCAGAAGACCTCCCAGCTGAGGCCGAGGCTGCCGGGGAACTCTGCTCTCTGCTGCCTCTTGTTGTACATTCAGGGAACAGCAGACTCTTCCCTGCTGTACTAGCCTCAGGGAGCTGCCAGGGAGGAGTCCTGACCCAAATTCTAAAGGGAGGCTCCAGGCTACAATGGGTCGGGCGATTGCCTTGCACACGGCTGCATTCAATCTCTGACATCCCATATGGTCCCCCGAGCACTGCCAGGAGTAATTCCTGAGTGCAGAGTTAGGAGTAACCCCAGAGGTGTGACCAAAAGAAAAAAATAAATAAAGGGAGGCTCCATTTCTGCTCTGCCTCCTCCTGCCTTGGGGCTCAGCATGGCCCCTGTTCTGGCAGGGTGATCAGGGCAAGCTGCTTTCCCTCTCTGTGTCTCTGAGTGTTCTCGGTAGAACAAGTGTTTAGTCAGGGTTGTTGAGCCTGTAACTGGGCCACAGGAAGGAAATGGGATCGAAGGATCTGGTCCTCCTAACCTGGGTGACAGGCCACTCCCTCGGGAAGTGCATTAGTACAGGTTGTGTGTAGAGCCACTGAGGCCGCTTCCCACAGCGGGGATTCCACTTGAGACCAGAATGCGGGGCCCCACGCAGCCCTCACAATCCTGCAGTGCTGGAAGAGCCACTGAGCCAGGGCCTTGCAGAGCCTATGGCCACAGCCTATGACCCATGCTGCAGGTCCCAGGACCCTTTAAGCAGTGACCTAAATGTTGACCATTGCAGGACAGTGGAGGGAGGGGCAACTTGGAACATAGGCCCAGGCAGGAGGTGCTTGGCCAATTTCCAGAACAGAAGGGAGTTACTTTTTTTTTTCTTTCTGCTTTTTGGGTCACACCCAGTGATGCACAGGAGTTACTCCTGGCTGATGCACTCAGGAATTACTCCTGGCAGTGCTCAGGGGACCATATGGGATGCTGGGAATAGAACTCGGGTCGGCCGCGTGCAAGGCAAATGCCCTACCTGCTGTGTTATTGCTCCAGCCCCCAGATGGGAGTTTCTTAGTTCACATCGAGGACTTTTTTAGAGAGTGGGGTGCAGGCAGAGAGAAGGGGTGTGATAAGAGAACCAGGAACTGGGGGGCAGCATCAGCCCTGGGTGCAGGAGGAAGATACCTCCTGGGTCCCCTGGTAGCTGACGGGCTAGTAGCCAGGGAGGAGACCCAGGTGAGGGTTGAGAAGGGAAAGAACGCAGGCAAGGCTGGGGTGTGTCCAGGGTGTGGGGACAGTGGCCAGGGAATGGGTGAGGCCCCAGGCAGCAGTGCCAGCCACCAAAGTGATATTGGGGGAACCAGGGCAGAGAATGTACAGCCCTAAATCCCAGAAACCCACATTTGCTGTGTTTCACGAGCTGCATCAACAGGACCAGGCCCTCCTCCCTCAGACCCTGTGCTCATATGGGCTTATGCACTCAGCAACTAGCTATGGGCTCCAGAGGGAAACTGAGGCCAGGGCCTGGGCATCAGATTGATGGTGTGACTGTGACAATAGCTCAAAGGGTGGTGGGTGGGGCTGGAGTGACAGCACAGTGGGTAGGACATTTGCTTTGCACCCAACCCACCAGTTTTGATCCTTGGCTTCCCATAGGGTCACCCTAGTACTACCAGGAGTGATCCCTGAGTGCAAAGCCAAGACTGAGCCCTGAGCACCACTGGGCATGGTTCCCCAAAAAGCAAACAGAAGAAAGTAGGTTGGACCCAGAGATCTCGCCCCTGGTCCTGGGGGAGACTGTCTCCGTTGGACCTCAGATTTCAGGATCTGTGGAATGCGGAATCCACTCCTGTCAGGAGGGGCCCTGGACCAGGCTTAGGGGGAAGCACATGGGCAGGAGCTTTGCTCCATCGGTGATTGGGTGCTTAGTGCTGGGCCTGGGGCTGGATGGTGGGACTGAGTCCTGGCCTCAGGGATCTGTTTGCTGGGGGCCAAGGGGGCCAGGTTGAGCCACTCCAGTGCCCTGCACCAGAAGCAGGTGGACAGAAAGATTCCAGCAGAAATAGGATGCAGGGGGCGCTGAATTACTTGGGAAGGGCTTTAGGAGGTGGGGGCAAGGCCAAGGTGGGGGGCCCAGGAGGACCAGAGACTGGGCATCTTGCCTCACCAGGGGCTTTGGGATTTGTCACTCGAGCTGAGTCTGAGCCTGATTCCCTTTTTCTTTCCTTCTCTCCCTCCTCAGGCCCCGTGGAGAACTGACTCCCCGAAGCCTCTACCCCCCTGCACCCCCAGAAGAGGGCTTGAGGGTAGAGTCCTCTGTGGATGATGGTCCCACTGTCACCACCACAGACGCCGCCTCCAGGGAGGCCCCTGAGGTTGAGGCCTCCCCCTCCCCCACTATGTGCCAAACGGGAGGCCCTGGCCCCCCACCCCCCAGCTCCCCTGACGGCTCCCCGGACCCCTCTGACTCCCTTGGTGCCAAATGAGGCTGGAAGCCCCTCTCATACCCACCCCCACCCTGGAGAACCACCTTTCTTGGAACTGAACTGAACTGAACTTTTGGGCCTGGAGCCCCTGGGGTCCAGCGGGGGCCCTTTCTTCCTCCCTCCTGGCAACAGGCAGGGGCTGCAGCTTTGGGGGGGCTTGGACCTCCCTAACTTGGCGATCCCCTTTTCCCCCTCCCCAGCCCGGCCCCCTCAGAGAGGGCCCCTGGTTCAAACCTTCGCGTGGCATTTTCACATTATTTAAAAAAGAAAAAAATGACTTTTTGGAGGAATGCGGGGGCCTGTGTGTGTTTGGGGGTGGGGGGACTGTGCCAAGGGGAGAGATGCAGGGACTGAGGCTGCTGGGAGCCACTGCCATCACCTGCGCCTGTTTCCCAGCAGGGAATGCAGAAGCATCTGGGTCAGCTCCTGCCCTTGAAGAACTGTCCTGCCCATAGCATGGTGGAGTCCCAGGGTGACAATGGGAGAACTCAGAAATGACCTGTGGTGATAGCACCAGGGTGATAGTACAGCGGGGAGGATGCTGGCCTTGCACTCGCCAACCTGGGTTCAATCCCTGGCATCCCACATAGTCCCTAGAGCACCGCCAGAAGTGATTCCTAAGTGCAGAGCCAGGAGAAACCCCTGAGCATCACTGGGTGTGACCCCCCCCCAAAAAAAGGAATGATTTCTGAGTGCAGAGCCAGGTGGACTACCTGAGCACCATTGGGTATGGCCCTAAAATGGATGTGACCTGCCCCAGGCCACACCCCTCAGAATGACACCATCTGGCCCCAGAGTTTATTCACCCAGGTACACTGCTCCCCATGGTTCTCCCTCAGTTTATCTACCTTTCACAGGATCACCCACCTCCCACCACCTTCAACTCTGGCCTTTGCCCATTTCTTTGGTCTGTCCCTGAGTGCCTGCTCCCCACTCCTGACCCAGTTCAGGCTCTGCCTGGCCCGTTTTCCTGCTCGCCCTGCGCATGTGCAGTCTCCCCTCAGCCTCCGCCTTCTTCCCCGTTTCTATTTCTATTTCTTGTCTCCACATTCTACTCTGTGCTGATGGCTTCCTGCCTATCTCCTTGTCTTGTTTCTCTCTCTGTCCTTTTTTCCTCCTTCCCAAAGTTTTTCCTAACTGTGGACCAAATGACCCCTCCTCCCATATTTATGTCCCTGATCTTGGCTTTAGCCAACACCTTGGTTCTGGTCAGTGATGATCTGAGCTGTGTGCGGTGGGAGAGGCCAGGAGAAACATCCTCCAGTTGCCCCTTGGACCCGGGCCTTAGAAATTCTGTAATAAGATCTTTAAGGTCACATGCAAGTCTGGAGGCAGAGGAGTGGGAGGACTCACTGTTTTTTTCCCTTTTGCTTTTTGGGTCACACCCAGCGATGCACAGGAGTTACTCCTGGCTTTACACTCAGGAATTACTCCTGGCGGTGCTCGGGAGACCATATAGGATGCTGGGAATCGAACCCGGATCGGCCGCGTGCAAGGCAAACGCCCTACCTACTCTATTTTTGCTCCAGCCCCTGGACTCACTTGTTTTGATGCGCTCAGGGACGACTTTATGCTCAGTGCACTGAGGCCATGCCTGGCACTGCCCAGGGACCATGTGATGCTGGGGATGGAACCGAGGTTGCATGCCTGAGCTCAACCCACTGAGTTCTCTCCTTCCTACCTGATCTTTCTCCTGTTCCTGCCACTGGCCAGGACACCAGGGCTGGCTGCTCCCAGGGACGCAGCCTGCAGGGAATCCAGTGTGGTGAGGGCCCCATTCTGGTTGGAGAGCACTGTAGCACTGTCCTCCCGTTGTTCATCGATTTGCTCAAGTGGGCCCAGTAACGTCTCCATTGTGAGACTTTGTTGTTACTGTGTTTGGCATATCAAATACGTCACGGGGAGCTTGCCAGGCTTTGCCATGTGGGCAAGATACTCTCGGAAGCTTGCTGGGCTCTCCGAGAAGGGCGGAGGAATAAAACTCGGGTTGGCCGGGTTGGTCTCGTGCAAGGCAAATGCCCTACTGCTGTGCTATCGCTGCAGCCCCTGGTTGGAGAATTCCCTTGGATTCACAAAGTGCCATGGTTTTCCCCCCCCCATTTTTTTGGCCAAACCTACCAGTCCTCAGGGCTACCTCCTGGCGCTGCGAGTGCCCCCTGGTGGCAGTCAGGAAACCATGCAGTGCCAGGGTTGGAATTGGGCCCAGCTGCAAAACAAGTGCCTTTCCTCTACCAGCTGTCTCCTGCCCCCAAAACAAGGCGCTGAAAGCAGGTATTACTGTCTATAGAGGCCGGAAGTGCAGGACCTGCAGGCGAGCAGATCCAACCTCTGGGAGGCAATGAGGAAACCTTCCTGACACACCGCCTGCCTCTGGCTTCCGTTGGCTCCTTGGCCAGCCCTGGCAGGTCCAATCAACCCGTCATCTTCCTGTGCCTGCTGTCTGCGGGGTATGCCCAGGACTCTGTCTTGCCCACATTTCCCTTGGCAGAAGGACCCGTCATAATGGCTAAAGGCCCAGATTAATGGCCTTAGGGAGACTGATTTTATCTGCACCGCTGTTTCCGGGAAGACCCCCCCCCCCCTTCAGAGATTAGGACCTCAATATACAGGTCTTGGGTTGGGGAACAAATCTCATCACAGGGGGAGACAGGTGCTGAGAGGGAGCAGGCGACCCAAATCTTGGCTGTGGGGAAGGAAACTGGGGAGCCAACTTGAAGGGCAATTCCCAGGAAGAGGGGCCTGAACAGAGCAGTTCCAGCTTTGCTTTGGCCACAACAGAACCAGTGATGTCCACCCCGTGATTCTTGGACTTTCTCAGTCACTGGATCTAGTAACCCGAGTCTGGCTGGCCCCAGGTCCCTCTTTCCAGAACTCCCAGGAAGCTTTGTCCTCTGCCCTGTCCCAGGGATGATTGTGCAATCTGACCCAACTGGCTGCCCAACCCCGCCTGCTCCTGCCTCCATCACTGAGGCTCCCCATTGGTTAAGAAAACACCTGTGGGTCCCAGAGAGAACACGGGGATTGGGTAATCTGTCCTTCTTGCAGGCAGTCCACCCAGGTTCTATCCTTGGCACCCCATATGGCCCAAGCAGTCAGAAATGTGTCCTGAACACCACTAGGTCTATCACCAAAAAACTAAATGGAAAATGTACCCTGCCACTGAGCCCCAGGGTCTGGACCCATCCTGACACAGGCCTGACAGCAGCAGCAAGGGCACATCCCATCCTTCCGCTCACTGTCCCCTATGCACACACCTTTGTCCTTCCTTCTCCACTAACCTGTCCCTGTCCCTTTGCCTCTGCACCCTCTCACCCCCTGCCCCAGCCATCAAGCATTTGTGGAGCCCGTGAGAGCCAGTGGGGACAAGCATCTTTTTGGACATGGACTATCAAGCACATGAGACCAAATGCTCAAGGGCTAGAGCAGTGGCTCTGTGGCTGAGCCCCCCTCCACCCCATCTTCAACCTTGCCCCACCCACATGCACCCAGGGGGCCCTGCCCCACCCTTGTCTGGGATGCCCTTAGTCTGCAGTGAACCCCTGAGCACGAATAAAGTAATGTGACCCCAGGGAGGCCCTGAGTGCCAGAGCTCAGAAACCAAGCATGGAGCCCCCTCAGACCTTAACAGCAGTCGGGGGTTAGTGTCAGACCTCATGCAGGACACCTACAGCCTTTAGTAGAGGCCCAGGCTCCATCCCCAGCAGTGCATAGTCCCGCAGCACTGACAGGTGTGACCCCAAAGCCACAGCAAGCAAAGGAATAAACATGAGGTGACTCACTGCACACACCCGGGCTTTAGCTGCAGGCCCAGCGTTGGTGTGTGTGTATGTGTGTGGGGGGGGTAGACACGCAGCGCAGATTCCACACCCTCCTGGGCTGAAAGCCCTTGCTGAGATGGGGGGTGGGCCCCAGTTCTGGCGCTGGCCCTGGAGGGGGGCTGAGAGGACCACACCACCAAGCACCTGAGCACTGGCCAGCCCCCTGAGAAATGAGGGGGTACACAGACGACCAGCGGTTCAGTAATTAATAAGATACCAACAGCGTGTTAATTACAAAGATGAGAGAGGAGCTCAGGTGGTGAATTTTTCCAAATGGGGAAAACAGGGTGTGTTGCCCCAAGCCCGGGGGTCCGGCCACCCGGGGGGGAGTGGGGGGGGCAGCTCCATAATAAATAACGAAGTCAGGGTTGGGGTCAGGGCTGCTCCTGCTTCTTCTTGACAGAAATTCGCTTCTTCCGGGCCGCCAGCATCTCATAGAAGGGGTCCACGCTCACGGCAGCTCTGCAGGCGGGAGCGGGGAGGTCAGGCGAGGGGGGCCAGGAGAGGAGTACAGATGGGGGCGGGGGGGCATGTCAGAAGCACAGGTGAGGGTGTGGCAAATCAAGGATGCAGGTGAGGGTGGGGTCCCAGTGAGGGTGAGGGGAGGTGAGGGGAGCAGGGGAGGCTTGGGTGGGGGCAGGTGATGGTTGAGTGAGGGTGGGCTGGAGCAGGTGAGGGGGGCAGGTGAGGGTTGGATGGGGGCAGATGAGGGTAGGGATGTAGGTGAGGATGGGGGTGCAGGTGAGGATGGAGATGCAGAGGAGGGTGCAGGTGAAAGTGGGGGGCAGGTGGGGGTGGCGGTGCCAACTGTGGAGTGCAGGTGAGGGTAGGGGTACAAGTGAGGATAGGGGTGCAGGTGAGGGTGGGGTGCAGGTGAGGATCAGGTGCAGGTGTGAGGTAAAGATGAGGGTGGAGGGTGCAGGTGAAGGGCAGGTGAGGGGGGAGCAAGCGGGGCGCGGGACGCCGGGCTCACTGGATGGATTTGATCCACTCGTCCTTCTCCCCCTGTGTGGGCGCTGAGATCCGGTAGACCATATGGTTCCCCTCCACCACGCGGCCGTCGGCCTCGGTTTTGCAGGCTTTGATGAGCTGTCCCTTGTTGTTGGGGATGTACAGCTCAAAGCAGTTCTGGGAGAGGCGACGAGGAAGGGGGCAGGTGAGGCGGCGGCCCAGGGAGGGGCCGTCCCCGGGACTGGGGGGCAGAGCTGCTCACCGGTTTCCGGGGGTCGTCCACCTCTCGGATGCTCAGATTCTCCAGGGGGATGATCCCTCGGGGCTCCTTGTCCTGGAGGGGCGTAGGAGAGGCTCAACCCCCGCCCCTCCACCCTCAGACTCCAGACCTCCTCCCTCAGAGCCCCGCTCCGCCCTCACCGTCGTGTACTCAAAATAGTAGAGGCAGTTGTCGGTGAGGATGAACCAGCGCCGCTTCCACGTCTTCACCCGGCCCCCTGAAAGGGAAGGGGGGGAGGGGG